ATTTTGGAACCCCGAGGCAATTTTGCTTAGTGTGTGGATTCATTTATATTAGTTGACTTTTGTAGAAAATGTGGAGAATTTTGGTTATTGTAGAATTTGGTTAATGCTCTTGTTAAAGAATCCGTTTTTGTCTTGTATTGAAATTTGTCTCCAAATGGAGAATTTTTAAAATTTGATTAATTGCATGAAATTTTGGAGATTTGTTAAAGTTTCACCCAAATTTATTTGAATTTTTGAAAAAATATTGTTTCTTTTATCCCACACTTTTTTTTTATTATTTCCATTTTTAAGAATATTGTTAAGGTTCTAATATGTTCCCTATATATAGTTGACTTTTCTTTACAAATTAGACGCGATACACAAGTTAGATAATATTGTAAATACAATAATTTTTATATTCTTTCTCCATTCTCTGCCAATTTTCTTTATCTTTTGTGTTGTGATCATTACTTCATATTTTGTTATATATCTCGCTTGCTATTAACAAGTAGTATCATTCAATTTATACATAATTCTTATTAATTCCCCAACAAATATTATACTGTCGTGTCATGCATGAGGATGGTATTCTAAGATTATGCATGTACTAATCTAATTCTTTTAAAACTCATGATATGATTTATTTAATATTAATATGATAAGTAAGGGGCAAATGCTGTGTTAATGTATACACATAATTACATTATGTTTTCATACTTTGTTGGGTGTTTGTGTCCTGTGGTGGGATTACTCCACATCAAGTAGAAGTTCCATAAGCCTTCGGGCTTCGTGTACTAAAATATCAATGAATTTATAAGTGCGACAGAACAAATTTTCTATTGATAAAAGCGTTGCTTAAACAACTAGGTAGGCAATACTACACGCAATTCAAGCTAGATTTATCGTTAAAGGAAGTGTCACGGTGTAATTTTTTTCTAACCACAATGTGTGGATTACTTCTGAAGTCAAATAAGAGATCTGCTTTTTGGCCAGGGCAAAAAACAAGCCTAAATACAGGGGCGCCATGTGGCATCCCCTATTTGGAGGGGACCGTCTAGCTTTGTGTCCTTTTTCAAGAAATAAATCATTTTCACCTAACTAAGTGATGAAAGTTTGATCATTTTTTCTTTTTCTTTTCCGAAATGAAAAAAAAAAAATCATATATCTGTAACGCCCCGAACTCTTTTTCATTATTATTGTTATTTTTAAATAAAAATGAGCTCAAAGTGCTACCAAAACTTTTCTCTATCTAATTTAAGCAGAAATATATCGAAAATATTCGATTTCAAATTATTAAACAACATAATAAATATCGTGCATAAATATTAACACAAAGATATTCTTTATATAAATTGACGATTGTCTTTTCTAGAAATTTTACTTGACGACCACATTAGCATCGCTCCGTCAATCTTCCATGCATCCACACGACCCGTTCTCATCTGAAAATATTGTAAGAGTGAGTATTTTGAAAACACTCAGTAAGAATACGCACACATTCTTATTCACATGATATAAACATAATATGGCATAATATACCGTAATTTCTTTGATTTAGAGCTCAAGGAATTTCTTAAGAATCCCCATATCCCGTAAGATTTAATCATATTGACCCAAAGGTCCATCCCGTATGATTTAACTTCTTTTCTTTGACCTGACGGTCCATCCCGAAGCATTTAACATAGCATTCGACCTGAAGGCCTCATAGTATCTAATTTACATACATATCAAGGAATAAGAATTTACCACTTTCACCATGCATTCTTACCTCAATTTGATATCCAAGAATTTACTTGAAAATGACTTTGTGAAAAGATATAAATATTATACTTTGCTCAAAATTCTAAAATTATAAAGTGGCGTGATGTATGTGTAATATAAACTGTGGTGGAAGAAATCATTTTCATCTCATATATATATAATTTCCACACACGTAACTTTCATAATGTGAAAAGTCATCTGAGGTTAATTGAAGATTAATGTAATTAAACCACCATGTCCACGAGTTAATGTAAAATCAATTATGTATTATAAATTTCTAAATCAATTAAAGTAGATGACATTACGTAACCATACAATGAAAGTATTCATTTGATTATTATTTTATATTATATATGTATTAATATAATATTTGAGAATGATAATTTTCTTTCTATTAGAATAACTCGGGCATAATTAGCTCGAAATTATTTTTTCCTAAGCTCAAATTATACTGTTTAACACGAGCTACAAAACGAGTATAATATCAGTATATTTTCATCAACTTTAAAAATACTTAAATATTCTATTTAAATAATTTTCTAAAAGTGCTCGTAACTCGTAAGCAAATAAGTTATTTATACGAATACGCGAGTCGAGTCTACCACTTCAACTTTGGACTTTTAATATAATGACAAATCTTCACATTTTCATTTG